TCTCCTGGTCTCCTGGTCTCTGGGTCTCTTGGTCTCCTGGTCTCCTGGTTGCCTGGTGTCTCTGGGTCTCCAGTGACTCTCACCATAACCTGTTGCCCTGAGTGACCTGTAACGGCAATTCTGCCCCGGGGCACACAGGAGTGAGGGAGTCCCCCACATCAGCCTGCCCTGCCCGCACGACCCCACAGAAGAGACTGGAAAGACTCGGGAGTCAGGGGTTGACCCCCTCCTCAGTCCCCGCCACCTCAAGAGCAAGGCCCCACAAGGCCTCACCACTGGCCTGCACTGAGCGCCTGGATGGGGCCGGGGTGCAAGGCTGCGTTCTCTCCACAGGAGGATTTGAGGCTGGCACTGAAAGAGGGGCACAGCGTTCTGGAGAGCCTCAGGGAGCTGCAGGCTGAGGGCTCAGAGCCCGGCGTGAACCAGGACCAGCTCGACAACCAGGCCACCGTGCAGAGGTGAGGCCCGGCCGCCTTCCTGCCCTTGTGCTGTCCGAGTCCAGGGAAGGATCCTCTCAGGCACACAGCCTCTCTGAAAGAAAGAGGCCACGGAAATGGCAAGCCACGCAGCAGGCAGCCCCACTCCTGGCCGGGGCCAGCACAGCAGCCAGCCTCCAGGCCTCTGTGTGGACCTGGCTCCTCCTGCTGAAATGCGTTTCTCCTGAACCCCACAGAAAGCCGCTGTTCTAGGGACAATTTCCTAGAGCAAACGCCCTTTTGCAGGCATGAAGGAGACGTTAGGGGAAGCAGAGGCCTTAGATGTGGGGCTGCTGCGTTCCGAGCGGGGCTTCCACGGACAGGGAGAAAGCTTGGGGTTCTCCTCGCTGCAGCTAGTGTTTCTTACTTTCATTGTAAAAGTGTGATTCTCATATTCCTCCCTTGGGCTTCCAGCTTTATAGCAGCACAGGGTAGGGCATTTGTGTGGTTGGCATGGTGCTCTAGGATGTCCAGAACTCCCTGAGCCCCCCCCACAACCCCCCAGAGCTCCCCGAGCCTCACCCATCCCGTCCAAGACTCCCCAAGCCTCCCCTGTCCCATCCTCACTGGTGGGTGCTATCAGCCTCGCCTCCCAGCTGAGGAGCAGGGCCCACACAGCTGGACAGCGGCTTGTCCGGCAGGGCCGTGCGGGGCGCACCAGGCCTAGACCGAGCTGGTCCTTTTGACTCTCAGCTGCCGTTGACTCCCATGCAGCGTGGCCCACACCCTGAGCTGCCTTCTGTGCCAGGGACACGCCAGACGCCCCGGGGACTGAAGGGTGCATCCTTGAGGGGCTCCTCGTAGATGGGGTGCTGTGGTCCACAAGGCGGAGGTTGGAGCACAGCCCATGAGGGTCGGCCTTGCCCTGGCTGGTGTCGGACACCTTGTCAGCTTCCCAAAGACTCAGTTTCCTCATCTGTAAAGTGAAGCTGATCCGTGCACACGCCTGGCAGGGTGGGCGTGGGGCTGACTGGGTGGTGCACAGCT